CCAGCCACTCTTCCCCATGCCTGTAGAGTTGCAGGGAGTTGTTGTGACCCCAGTGCAGAACCCAGCACTTGGCCTTGTTGAACTTCATACCCCTGGCCTCAGCCCACCAACCCAGCCTGGCCAGATGGCACCTTTCAGCACATGGCCTGCAGAAGGAGACAACCCAGCAGCACCAATCTCTATGCAATATCTTTGCACAGTGTATCTCATTCCCAGGATCTGGACACTCCAGAAGCACACCACAGTGAACCAAGCTGAGATGATCAGAAGAGCTCAGAGCTCAGCCAAGTACTTTTAAAAACCTAATCACAAACAAGGTTGGTAAGCACTTGAAAAGCCCATTCCTTCAATATTTTTTCTGAGGTCAGCTTCCTGATTGCCCATCAACACTGTAAAACAGATCAAAGTGCATCTCTGTATCAACCACTAAGTCCAAGCATGACAGTAAGGGGTTACTGAAGCAGCCCATCCTATCTCAGATACAAGATGTCTCCTATCACCATTTGCCTTTGGATACAAGTAAAACAGAGGTATCCTGGATACCCTGGTGCTAAATTGTAGGCTCACTTAACCAGTAGAGACAGAACAATCCAACTGGACTGCAGCAAAACTGTACCCGTGGCAGCAGAGGCACAACAGAGTCATTTAGACAGTGTCAAGTGGGGTCAGTCGTGGGGTGTCATTAATCCACTCCCATTGTGTTGCCTACCACAAAAAGCAATTTTATTTAGTAGCACCACAGTAGAAAAGAAAGCAAAGAGCCTGTCAGAAATACATGGAATTAGCACCTTAAGCAATCCAGGTCCTCAGGATCTCCTAAGCAAACTATCAGCTCTTCAGGGTTTGGAGTTTGTTTTTTTCCTCTGTTTTTCCTCCTGTGTCTTTGAGAAGCACATCAAAGATGACCTGAAGCCCTGCTAAATACATCTGTAACTTCATAGGGATGATGAAACTGGCTGTGGCTGTGCAACATCAGGTTTGACCTCCTAACATTTCAAGCAGTCAGCTGCAGTAAACCCAGGATTCCCTCAAATGCCAGCCTCTGCTCTCCTATTCAGCAGGGCAACATTTGGTTTTCAGTCTGATCACTGCTATCAATAAAACATGGGCAGATCAAAGAGCAGGGAAGACTAGGGATGGTTAACAGCCACAGCCCAAGCAGAGCACAGTGCTCTGTTCTCTGCACTGTTGCTGTACTGGCTTTACAGCAGCAGGAAAATGTAAAGAGCTAGTCCAGAGTTTGTACTGGTAAAATAAGCACAGCTGATACAGGGGGACACTGAAGCAACCCCCACGGATTCACACTGAGGTTTTTAAAGTCACCTTTCCTATTAAAACAGCAGCTCAAGACTCCTTCTAAAGCTGAGGAAGGATTTAAATGCACTTCCTAGAAAATCAGCAGCTCTGGAGAGACAAAAATCACCCTGTACAAAATCCTCCTGGTACCCATGCCAAGCTAAAAAAACCCCACAGTAACTTTCAGCCCAGCAGGGACTGTTTTGAGACTATACCAGCAACTGCAGAAAGCAAATGTGAACATGTTAGGCTGTGTCTACTAATCACCACAGGACACATTCAGGTGAAAAGTTTCCTTCCATTTCCAGTTTATTTTGTGACACCTACCTAAAGAGATGAAATTACTAAAGCATTAACACAGAACTGGTACCACCACAGACACAGCACACAGCCAAATGCTTCAACTGTCAGCCTCTCTCTCTCCCCCCCTCTGGATTTGTTACTTGGAGGCACTAAGTAGTTGGTGCTGTATTTCTATTTTATGCAAGATTGAACACGGGGCATCAGCGTTTTCTCACAACACAAGATTTGCTGCAGCTTTAAAAAGCAACTATTCTAGAGCATGTCTTCCCAAGGTATCTGCAACCAGGCAAGTCCAAGGGCTAGCACCTCTACAACCCAAGAGGTGAGGCTATATTGAGCTGAAATTCAATGCCAGGGCTAAAATAAAACCATGGTTTAAGCAATGCTCAGTTTACCTAAAGGAAGGTAAATTGTCTGAAGGTGAATCAAAAGAGCAAGCACTGCAATAGTCCAGAGAGCTGCTGTTCCAAGGCAAACTCCTCTTATGCAACTGCAACTGAGAAGAACAGTTTTCTCCTCCTGGTTTTCCCTTCTCATGGGCTAATTGTGCCCTCAGGGATAATCTTGAAAAGACACTAAACACACCCCCGAAGCAACTGGTGGTCGTTAAATTATCTTTTGACTACACTGCACTTGTTATTTTGGGGGGACTGGTGTTGAAGGAAGGAGTTGTTTTATTTTTATAGCCACGTGAGACCATCTTAAGTGTGTTAGCTGCAGGAAAAAGAGATGTTATCTGATGTGAAAAAAATAGCTGCTCTTTTTCACTGCTGAGTGACCATTACAGAAACAGGTGAGCAGCAGAGGAAGGGAGGGAGGGCTGTGCCAGCAAGGGGTACTTGTAACCATATGTGTACAGATCCAAGTTTGAAGTCTGTGGAACTGCAGGTTCATGCAGCAGATGCTGCTTGTTGATCCGATGCTGGCACCACCCCAAATGTCAAAGGGGGGAGTAACACATACCTGCTGAATGTGCATGATGAGTTCCTGTCCCTAAAACATCACAAGGAAGTCTGAGTTCTGAGGAACTTGCCTTTGTGTCAAAAAAATCTACAGTAGGAAAGTGCCCTTCCCTCCAGCACTCTTCAATTTCCAAGTGACCATTTTTGTTTGTATAGTAGAAAAGCACAGTTCTGTTCACTGCCCAAAACCAACCTCATGCAGACTGTCAGAAACACACCAGCCAGTGTGAAGCATGCCTGGGACTACCACACAGCAGCACAGAGCCCTGCTGCATGGAAAAGCCAGGGTAGTGTGCTGAAAACCAGCCAGCACTCCCCTCCCACAAGCCAGTACCACGGGCAGCCACCACAGCCCTTCCAGGGGTCCTCTGCCCCCAAGCAAGAGCTGAGATGTCTGGTGGACCTGGTGCACCCTTCCAAGGGGTCAGTAGCCCCTCTAACCTCTCCAAACAGGGGACTTGCATGCTTACCTGCTCACTGCCCATCTCTAGACAGCCCTGGCTGCAGTAGCCCAGTCCCCAGGCCTGCTAGCCAAGTCTACCTGTCCCCTAAACCTCCTTGCAGGCAGGCAGAACAATCAGACTTCCAGATCACACACGGACAGTAGCAACTCAGCAAATGAAAGTGAGGAATGCCTCTATTTTATGGCTGTGCTGAGGTTAATGAAAAAAAAATCCAGCCACCAAGCATGTCAGATACTTGATGGGCAGAGCACAGCACCAGTTACCTACAAAACCTCAGGCTGAAGACCAGCTGAGGTCCTGGAGAACAAAGGTGTTGGGATCCCACAGCTGCTGGACTCACACAGGATGTGTTTAGAACCTCAAAACCCAGCTCTGTAGCAAGGTGCCTCCACTCAATAACAGAGGAACATTCTCAGGAACATCAGGAGAGATACTAGCAATTAAGCAAGCAAGAAAACTGAGCAGCCTCATCCTAAAAGATAAAAAATTGGACTAAACTCCCTTTAGACTCCAACCAAGCAGCACAGGGAAGCTCACATCACCTGTCTCCTGCCTCTGCCACTCAGAACTGAGGCTTCTGAACTGCAGGGTTGTCCAGCTCTGCTCATGATTGTCCTTTTTTTTACAAAAGGCATTATGTTCATTAAAATTGTTCTCTACATCTCATAGAAAAAGCTACTGATGTAATCACCTAGTGGATTGTTAGTTTGAACTACTTTCTGGAAATAAAGTTTCAATAACAAAATCAGAGTTTAAAAACAAAATAAAAGGCAGAGGACTAAGATGCAAAACAGAGAAGCAAAGCTGATCTTGAAATATTCTTTGAAAAGCCTCCACTCTGGGAGCTGGAGGAATGTGGGGCTTTGATCTTCTCTCTCAAGCTGCCTTAGTGGATACATTAAACCCTGTGAACTCTGCTGGAGTCTCCACAGGTTACAGTGTGCATCATGCTGAGTGACATGACCCAGCTTTGGAGTTTTCTCAGTTTTCTCCTGCAACAATCAGACACAAACAGCTCCTGCCTAATCTCTGTCCTGCCTCTGGTGAGAGCCTACCAGGATGGAGCATCCAGAGCAGTATCCTTCTGGAAAGAACACCATCTTTCATCTGCTCTGTTGAAAGTCTACCAGAAAGACTCCAAAGCCTGGTCCACCATCTGGGTTCTGCAGAGCCTCACCTTGTTTTGTGAGTGCTTCTCTCAGAGCAGGGGTTATCATCTCCCTCCTTTCCTCCTCCTCCTTCCTTGCAGCATTCTCCTGAGTCAAGTTCCTTCCAACATCTTCCTTGAGCTCATGTCCTCTCTGTTTAAAGACAGTAAATTACAACCATTTAGATTCAAGCACCATGTTTTAAACACTGGCACATTTCAGCCCCAGATCAACTTAAAACTGACTCAAGTGCCCACAAGTGAATTCTTGCATTCATGTAATCCTGCATTTCATCTCTCTTCCCATCAGCCTCTGACCCTTCAGTAATTTAGGACAGTAAATTTAAAAAGAAAAAACCACTCAACACTAGATTGATTCTACTAACACAGCAGTAAAATTCTCTGTGACATTTTAAGAAACAAGGTGTTGGAATCTCATCCAAGACTGAGAGGGACTCCAGGATTTAAGCCCAAGTGTTTCATCATTGCACAAAACCCTCATCTCTCCACAGAGCACACACCAGAGGGAACAAATCATTTTGTGTCTGACAGCTGCCTGGACTGACCAGCAACTATTGTCCCAAATAAGTGGGACAGGTCAGGGAAGCAAGTCACAGCACTATAATGACTTAGCCCAGGAGTTTATAGAGTAGAAGTTGTGCTCTGCACAAGTCATCTCAGAGGGCAGCCATGTGGACCACCAAAATCCAGTAGTGCCCAGAGGCCCTGCAACCAACACCAGACACATGACCCACAGCATCCCACCCAAGTCTGGCTTCCAGCAGATGCTGCTTTATAGCCCCAGTTAAGCCCCTGGAGCTTACTTAAAACCCAATGCAGGGACATCACTTCTTGGCACAAGGTTAGAAACAGGAGAAACAAGCTCTAGCACACAGGAAATTGTGAGTCCCCTCTTGTCCAAGTGTCACTGCTGAGCCTTATAGGTATTTGTTTCAGGTCTTAACACTTTCAAGCTTCTTTGGGCAATAATTACTTTGATATTTCATGCAACTTGTAATCTGTCAGTCCTTTATGGCTTTCTTGAAATATTAAAAGGAGTGAAGGATAAACAACAAACAAAAACTGACAGAGGACATTCTGTCTTCCACAAAACTGAGGCTATTTCACATCCAAGCCTCTTCTGTGCCAAAGACATCAAGAAGCTCAATGTGAATGCTCCAGTTTGAGGCTACCCACCAACTGTTAGCATCACTAAGGAAACCAGTGCTCTTCACTTGCCAAACTGCTCTTCACAAACAGGGAAAGTAATCCAGCCATGCCCAGACAGACTGATTTTGTTTGTACCTGAGCAAAACTTCTGAAAATAAAGGTGCCTCAGAAGCAAAAAATGAAACCACACAGATTCAGAGGTTCAAGGTCAAAACAGAGCTCCTAATACTTTCCTATTCCCTTCTCAAGAGTGCAAGACATTTAGGGGTAGAGGTTACCTTTCCTACCCACCTGGAATAAAACTTTGCTCAGTTTCAGGGAGGTTCTGCAGGAAGGTGTTTTCTAATGACCACCAACACAACGTGGTCCTTGCTGAAGGAGAAATTTGTTTCCATCACCTCCCTCCTTTCACAGAGTTTGCTGCATTTTTAGGCAGGATTTCAGGTGGTTTCTATAACACACCAGGATTCCCCTGAAAGGCTCACTCTATTAAATACTTGTTGTTGGTTGGGTTTAAAAGTTCTTTTCTATAGACTAGATCTTCATTTCTCAGCAAGATGTTTCAACAGTAAAATATTAGTATTACTGCAAAGCCTCATGCATAAGGAAGATAAAAATCTTCAACTTTTCCCTAGTAAGTCTTAAATAAAGAGCTTCTCCTCCCACAAGCTATCCCTTCACCCAGAACTATGCCAAGTTGTCCACTTCAAAAGGCAAGGCACTGTCTCAGCACAGCTACTCCAAGCCAAACACTACACAGGATTTACAGAGGGACACATCCTGGCCTGTCCAGTCTACATCTCATGCCAGGTTAATTCTCCCAGGGATATGGATTGTGGAGCACATCACACTAAAAACACAGGAATTAAGTTCAAATGAGACATCCCATCCAAGACAATCTTCAGACACAGAAAAAAGTCTTCCTGAATTTAAAGGGTCTGCACTTCTACCTGCCTGTTATGCCCATTACCAAGAAAAACACCTAAATATAAGAACAAGTCAAATTGCCTTACTGGCAGGGCAGAAACATTTCAATAATCATTTTTCCCCTTGCAGAGATGATAATATTTTTTCCTCCCTCATGCTGATGTGAAAGCCTGTAAACAAACTCATCATTTGTTTTTCTCTGAACTGCAATACCTGACTCCTTCAGTTTGGCAAGAGATTGGCTTCAGGTATTTCTTGTGGGAAATGGAATTCACAACACTGGGAGTTTTACTTATTTGCTTAATAAACCTGTCGTAGCCATTATTTAGGGTTCCAGTGGAGAGAACAAAGTTAACTTTGCACAGAACAAACTTCTCAGGTTCTGGTGATTTAGCAGAAAGCCCTTGTAGTAAATCCAAGGCAAATTACTGTCTTTCCATAACAAATCAAGCAAGTAGTGACAAGAGCCAGCTTTCCGTGCCCTTGAAACACTTCACTGCTGAAAAACTGAAGAGTCATCCTCTGGTCTGTGTTCACAAAGGAGAGGACCCTCAGCTGAGAAAAGCCAGGGATACACCCCAAATCCTTGGTACCTCAAGGCTCAGCACAGCTCCTGCTGCAGCCTGCTGGAGGTTGGGCTCTTTTACTACTGCCATTGAAGCAGACCTGAAAAAAAAGCAACTGAACCTGAGGTGTAAGGAGTTATCACCTCCTCTACAAATGAGGGCAGAAAGCAAAATAAAACATCATCTTTTTCCTGCCACATGGGCAGCCAAAGCCTATTTTTGATGGGTCAAGAGCAGAGGGCATCTGACACAGGACACAGACACCAGCAAGGACCTGAGCATCCCCTGCCAAGGCAGAGCTGTCACTGCCCCTTTGACAAGTCACAGTTCAAGGAGTTCAAAGGACTTCCTATAGACATGCCAACCAAACTCAGCCCCATCAACACAGGACCAACAGGATGTGCTGCTGCCACTTCTCCTCTTTGAAGTGCTCTCTCTGGGATGTCCAGATGCCTGAAACCTCACTGTGTTCTCCATTTCATTACATCAGTCTTCAAACTAATATTGCAGGGGTGAGAAAAACTGAAGCAAAGAGACCCAAACTCCATGCAAAGAAGTATTCCCTAAATGAACTTAGTTTAGCATTTTTAGCCTCATGGCTGTATTTATTGATGGGCCATGGCTCAAAAATAAACCTGTCCCCTAAGTTTTTACTCACAGAAGGAAAATGACACCCAGAATATCCCAATTTTGACTGTAACTTCATTCCTACTTAACCTCCCAGTGGCCAAACAAGAGGGAACCCCTGGCCTTGTGGTGATTTACAGCCTCATCCATCAAAAGGCTCCAGGGTTTTTTAACAAATGAAAGGCACAAACATTAAGAAAACAGTAATACATCAGGGGCCAGAGCCAGGACTAAGGGAACTGGTGTAAGGGAAAGTGTTGGCAAGGCTCTCAGGAAAAGACTGCCTGGCAGCAAGAAGTATTTGTAAAGCTCTCCCAGGGGAGTTCTTACATGAAGCATTAAAGTTCACAAAATACATGAATGAAGAGTTAAAAGTTCACACCAAGCAGAGCTCTGGAAGCAATACTCCAGTGGCAAGAGGACAGCTAGGAAAGCTGACAACTTTTCCCCTAGTTCAGGCTCATCCATCAATAAGAACCATGGGGGGTGGTTTCAAGCTGATTAGACAGCAGGCTGCCCACAGGAACCACAGTCATTTCCTCACACAGCAACCTTCCTGCAAGACTAAAACACAGAAAAAGAACAGGACAGGAGCAGGTCACCACCAAGACACTTCTGAGCACAAGAGAAGGGGAGTAGAAGACTGCTGGTGTGCTGTGGGGACCTTCCTGCTCCAGGTACAACTGTAACAGAGACAGAACTGTGACCTGCTCAGCCCATGGAGGAGCCACCCTGCCAGTCTTACAGCAACACGAGATACTCCAACTGCTGTCAGCCACCAGGAAGAGCAGTTTTGAGCATCTGCAAGTGAGCACAATGAGGGAGACTGGAAATTTGGATTGAGTTATCTGTGAACCAGAAAGAAAATTAAAAATAGCTATGAGAGTCTAATCACAGGCTCCATGCCCACTCCACACCTTGCTGCCCAGTTAAGCACAAACACTGTAGCAAAGCAAAAAGCAAACCAGGGTTTGACAGCTGAGAGATGGGGAACTTGGCAATCTATTACCCTGACATGATGGAAACATGAGGCAGCTTGATCAAAAGCAAAAATCATGGCAGTTTAAGAAGTGTCCTTAAAATGGAGAAGTTCTGATACCCCCAAGAAGTTCCAATACCAACAAAAACACCAGAAAACCAAATGTCAGAAGCAAGACTTGTTTTTCTCCTGGAATAGAAACCATTGTGAATTTTCAGTCATGAGCTGCAAGAAAGTCCCCATCCACATCTACACTGGGGATGAACAGAAAGTCTCTCAAGTCATTCTGAGGCAGCAGGTACCAGCTGCCATCCAAAGAACGGATGCTACCCAAACAGACCTGCAGCTCAGCCCCTGCAGAAGGAATCTGGCACTTTCTGTGTTTGCAAAGTCAATGCTGAGATTTTTGGACATATACAACAGCATTTTAAAACCCAACTCATGCAGACAAATAATGACAGAAGACTTATGCTGCTGAAGCTTCTGCTTATCCAACCTGAATCAGTCTGAAAGGCCTCTGTGTGTCTTCTGTGAAAGGCAGAAGGAGAAATGATCCCACCAACACCCATCCACTTGTGGGTTCAACATCAGCCAGAATCCTCAAGGACAAAAAAAACAAATTCCCAGAGGACAACTGCAGGGCTAGAGAGAGGTTGGAGACAAATTCCCTGCACTATAACATCACTGCTCTGCTGTAGGGAAGGGTTTTACAAGGTGTTGTTAAACCACAACTCCATTCCACATAGGCTGTGTGGTTGTGTCAGAGGTTGGTTGGTTTGGGAAACTTCCTTGGGCACACCATGAAGGGGACTGATTTTCAAAGAAAACAAAAAATCATAA